AAAAAAACTAAAACTACAAGTACGAATTATCGCGAACGAGTTGTGATTTCGAGCGAGTGTTTCGGAATGCAACTGTTCGCGATACGTAATGCATCGACGAAATGGGATTTTCCTCTTCCTCCTTGGGTCCTTCCTCTGTAAATAAAGGACGATCCTGGTGTATGTTTCATGCTCATTTTTAGTGGAGGAATCGAATTCCGCTCCGGCGATCGCCGGCGCAACAAGTCACGGCAGTGGGCCAGCGTTGAATCCGGGTAGCCGTTTCCTTGCTATACCTGGTAATCTCCTTGCTTTAATGTGCTTGCAATTTTCTTTTAACTCTTTAACACATCGGATAAATAACCATCTCTCGTTACCTTGTAGATTTTCTGTAGCATATCTATACTATATATGCGACATATATATTTCGTATTCCTAAAAATCTGTGTGACGAATAGTGTCGTGAGTTGTCGGAATCCAACGATTCAAATTATGAGAGTACGATTATACTGGTACCATCGCTCAAAATAACATCCTTATATCGACAAACGATTATCGAGAGCAAGTGAAAACACGGGAAACAAAATCAACTCTGTCCTCGAGTGCTGCGTGGTCAATCTATCGGAAAAGTTTTACCGTATTGGTTACCGTTCGAAAGGGTTGTGCAACGTGGTCTTGACATTTAATAGAAAAAATTGTTCGTGCACAGAATATCTTTGAATTGAAAATTAACGTTCGTGTTAGAAAAAAAAAAAAACAGGGAGTAAAAGCAATCTAGCAATCCCGACGAATGTCGCCAATAAGAGAAATTGTGGAAAATCTTTGATATTGGATTCCTGCAACTGGGAAACGCTTTCGACATATCGAATGTGAGTCGCTATCCAACTTTTAATGGTCTTGGATAGAAATGATAATTGAGAGGAAACGGAAAAATATGTAGCCCTCGATTATTATGATGCCTACGCGCCTTCTCGTTTATAATTTTACCTTGAAAAGACGCAGTAGGCGGTAAGCTAGATCTCTTTCAGGCCAAGAACCAGGCTCCAATGGAATGGATCGAAGTCCGAGTAGTGTGTCAATTAGCCGAAATCACAGTTCGTCCGCCTTGGAAAATGGAGACGCGAATCACAAGGTTCGTAATCTTTAATGATCAAACGATTCGCACTGTCAAATAATTCTTTATTCGCTCCTCAGGGTAACACGCATTTTATGCGGAAGATACCAGCAGGAGCCGAGGCGAGCAATATTCTCGTAGGAGAGGTCGATTTTTTAGATAAAACTTTATCGGCTTTCATTCGATTGAGCCAAGCTGGAATAATGGGCGATTTGACGGAAGTTCCTGTGCCAACGAGATTCATATTTGTTCTGCTTGGACCAACGGTAAGATTTGTTTAAGATTTTTTTCAGAAAGAAAACGTAATTCGTGTCTGAGAATAAATCGATACGAATTCGGATATCGGAATTGTACGATGAAGCATTGAAAGTACAGCAATCGTGTACATCTATCGGGTAGAAATGTAGATTCTCGGGTAACTCGATGAAAAGCTCCTTTCGAGTAATTAACGTTTTAACGAAGTAATTGTGCACGCTGATTGCCCGAACTATTCTCGATCTCGAGGGTCCGATACAACAAAACAATTTCTACCTAATTTGAACGAGAACTGTCATTTGAGATTGTCTCTATTTTCCAATTCATTCCAATCGTTTGTCGTGTTTTCGTGTTTTGGTAATTGTTTTATCTTTCGCTTATCGATCATAGCGAAACACGAGGTAAATAAATTAATCTAGTCGAATCCAATAGATGGAATAATAATGATTCGATGCATTTTCAGGGAGGGCTCACAGGTTTCCACGAGATTGGTCGTGCAATGGCTACTTTGATGTCTGACGAGGTCTTCCACGATGTGGCTTACAAGGCGAAGAACAGAAATCATCTTCTCGCCGGAATTGACGAGTTTTTAGATGCGGTCACGGTTCTACCACCAGGAGAATGGGATCCTGCAATCAGAATAGAACCGCCAGCTGCCATTCCTTCGCAGGTACGTAGAGAAAGAACAATCTAACATTTAAGAATTCATTTTAATAATGAATTCGCTTAGGATATAAGAAAACGACCAAAAGAAGAAAAACCGAAGAAGAATTGGACGAAGAAGCTGATGAACAGAAATTGAGGGAAGAATCCGGACTCTCGAGGTCTGGTAGGCTTTTCGGTGGTTTGATAAACGATATCAAGAGGAAAGCGCCGTTTTACTTCTCTGACTTCAAAGACGCGTTGGCTCTTCAATGTGTAGCCTCTTTTATCTTCCTATACTTTGCCTGTCTCTCGCCTATAATCACATTTGGCGGTTTACTGGGCGAGGCTACGGGAAAAAATATGGCCGCCATGGAGTCGTTAGTTTCTGGTTTCGTTTGCGGTATCGGATATGGATTCTTTTCTGGACAACCTTTAACCATCCTCGGCTCAACCGGTCCCGTTTTAGTCTTCGAGACGATAGTCTATGAGTTCTGCAAGTAAGTAAGTTCTTTCGATATAAGGCGTTTTTCGTTGGCGTAACGAAATTGTATCGATATGCTCATAGGAAATCGGATTGGAACTACATGTCGTTCCGTTTTTGGATCGGCTCATGGATAACCCTAATTTTGGTAATTCTCGTAGCGATCGACGCTAGTGCTTTCGTGTGCTACATCACACGTTTCACAGAGGAAAACTTCGCCACCCTGATCGCGTTTATCTTCATCTACAAAGCAAGTAATCGATTCTTATATCTCAACTACTTTGCAATTTTGTTACCTTGGTGGATCTTAATTGCGCAACCGTGTCCTTCTAACGCGATACGACTTAATTGGATGGGATATAACTGTATGTGCTTCGCGAATCGCATCATCAGCGAAATCGCCTGCATTTGGGTCACGAATTGCAAGGTATACGCGTCTAATCGAAGCGCTTCTCGCGCGGGCTTCAAAAACTTGAATAACTTGAAACTTCGATTGGCCTCGATCTTGATGAGAAAGTGGTCGCGAAAATAGAATACTCTCTTAAGCTTTAATTTCAATTCATCAGCTTTTTAATCGAGGATTTAGAGAGGATATTTATAATCAACTAAGAATTTCCATGTTTCAGGCAATTGAAAACGTATTGTCCATCGGCAAGAAATATCCTATTAATACCCATACAAACGATCCGTTCGATTACGAGTGTTGGTGTAGGCCGCCGAATGGCAGTCTACCGTCTAGCTACGACAACGTTAATTGGACGGCGCTCGATCAAAAAACGTGCCAGGTTAATTGAACGCCGACATTGAACTACTCGTTAGCCGAAATTACAAACTTTGCAACGGCAGCTTGATTTCAAGACCGTGTCTGACTAGGCGCAGTGTTATATCCACTGATGAATCGTTTTTCTTTCAGAATTACAACGGTACGCTAGTGGGTGATGGTTGCAACCTACCGCACTATATACCTGATGTGTTCCTCATGTCAATTATACTATTCATGGGCACATTTTTGTTATCCGTTGAGCTCAAAGACTTCAAAAACGCTCTCTTCTTTCCATCAAAGGTATAGATGTCGCGTAATAAAACCAATTACGATCGATTTTTTTAATCTTCGCGTTGTATCATATAGGTCAGACAAGTCGTTAGTGATTTTGCGGTGATCATAGCAATTTTTTCGATGAGTACTCTCGATCATTTCGCGAATATCCCGACGCCGAAACTCGAGGTACCAACGGAATTCAAGCCAACGTTGGCCGATCGAGGATGGATAATCTGGCCTTTTCAAAGTAATCCATGGTGGAGCGCTATTGTTGCAAGTCTGCCAGCTCTATTAGGTACTATATTGATTTTTATGGATCAACAAATCACAGCCGTGATAGTAAATAGGAAAGAGAACAAATTAAAGGCAAGATTATGTATTATTTTTTGATTCTAAAATGCTCAAAGTATTACTAAAAAATTATTCATAAATTGTGTTGTTCGTTATTTATAGAAAGGATGCGGCTATCATTTGGATCTGTTCATTCTCGCGATTCTGATAGAAATCTGTTCGGTAATGGGATTACCCTGGTTCGTAGCTGCAACGGTGCTTTCGATTAATCATGTGAACTCGTTGAAATTGGAATCGGAATGCGCCGCACCAGGAGAAAAACCACAGTTTCTTGGTGTTCGCGAGCAACGAGTAACGCATATTCTAATCTTTTTGATGATCGGTTGTTCGGTCCTACTCACTCCAATGTTGAGACACATACCTATGCCGGTATTATTTGGCGTTTTCCTTTATATGGGAGTCGCTTCATTGAAAGGACTTCAATTTTTCGACAGAATTTTAATTATGTTGATGCCGGTTAAATACCAACCTGATTATATGTTCCTTCGACAGGTGAGATAAATTAAAATATATGGGTAAAATATTGTTCGTGCGATCCGAATGTTTCACGATCTAAATGTTCCAGGTACCGTTGAAACGCGTACATCTATTTACAACGATACAATTGACTTGTTTAGCATGTTTGTGGATCATCAAATCCTTCAGCAGTACTTCCATTCTCTTCCCTTTGATGGTTAGATATTTATCAAACGATGATAAATCAAGAACGATATTTAATATATATTGATTGAGTATTTTATTATCTTATAGGAATATTGTATTATTTATTATTATTTATTATTTTTTCTTACTCGAATGATATTTCACGCAGCTGATGGTGATGATTGGAATACGCAAGTCCTTAGATTTGATGTTCACACAACGGGAGTTGAAGATCCTGGACGATATAATGCCGGAACCAAGCAAAAAACATGCCGAAGATCTTCGTCAACTGGAGAGCGGCGAGGTTAGCACCGTGAGACGAATACTAAATATCATCATTGGTCGTAAATAGCACACAAAAAGTGATCGCGTGGCTAATATTTGCCCCGTGGTCACGGTAACTGTCTGCGACGAGCCCACATTTTGTCGGAAACACGGAGAAGAACGCGATATTTTAACGATTGATCGTATGAAAATGGCCTAAAAATTTTGCTACGCGTGTTCTAGCGAAACAGTATTCCTCGCCATACGTCGTCTTTTCGCTGTTCTCGTTAATGTCTTTCCGATCGAAGCAATAATAATTTGCCATTAAATGTGCCTGAATGACGAGGATGGCCTGCACAAAAATTAATGAAAAAGATAGATATGTATTCCGATGGTTTCATAAGATTTTGGTTTACAACTAAAATAGTTATCTCGTCGCACATACATAATTGCGCGTGTCAAAATACTCGGTCCGACCAGTATTAATTACATGTAATAGCCATCGTTCGAATGATATCATTTTGGATACAGTTATTTTAAAACTTAGATAAATTTGTTATTGTAGTTAAATTATACCGATTATAGATGAAAGTATATTTATCAAAGATATTTATATCATCGAAAAATTCATCATGAAATTAATCATAATATGACCATTATTGACGTAAGTTTTTTATTAAAAAAACAGGAATAAATTTTTTCTTTTTTCTTTTTTTTTTTTTTTTTTTATTATTAAGTTTCTGAAAAATCATTTTACGACATAATACAATATAACGAAGTCAATGTTTCGATTATCTTTTGACACACATGATGTATCGGCTTAATGTATCATCGAACACATTGCCTACCTTAACATATGAAAAAATACATCGTTGTTTAAGAACACACACAAATCTATCTGTAATCCCAACTCTTCCTTCAGTATTTACCAACACATTGTGCAGCACACAATATACAAAATAACATACACTTTATTTGCATGTAATCACCAAACTCCTTCGACACGTGTAAGATACACGTAGATTATACATTAGAATCGGATGGATCTTCGATATCGAACAGAAATCTTTTCTCGCTGCTACAGCGATCAAATACCTCCTCCTTTTTTAACAGACATTCAATCACGAAATATTTTTTAAAAGAAGCAAGATCTAAACACCACAAGAACACCACAAGAATACACAATTACGGAGAAATATATAATTTTCGAGGGGTAGAAAAGGGGAGAGAGAAAAAAAAAAAATATAAAAGATAAAAAATCCTCAGAAAATCGGAGAATAAGAGAGAAATCGATGAGGAAATGAATACCAGAGACATAAAGGTACCCAGTGGTCGTCGAATCCTGCGGCTGTCATCGGTACGTGACCATAAGCGCACGTCCATAGTTCCTCAGCATCGAAAACATTTTTAACATTTGTATCTACATCCCTGCTGAAGATTACACCTTTACGCTGAACTTCGGATGTCGTGCACTGTGTATTACATATTTTTTATGATCGTGGCAATGATGGCATAGATCTCAACCATCGTTTCCAGCGATTCGTTTTATCGGTAGTGTAATTATAATATCATGAATTAATAAAATAAGTATATTAAAAAAATAATAGAATGATTGAGGTGATTCGGCACGAGTCACGAAGGCTATTTATCTACGCGACACCTGCTCGTTCTCAGCCGAATGCAAATTTCACTTTTTTTTTTTTTTTCTATCTTCCAGCTCGAACGATGCTAACCGAATAACCGCTTTTTTTTTACACCTAAATCCACTGTTCTTCGAAGTCTATGGAATAAAAATCTATGGTAGTGCAGAGAGATTTGCTGAGTTCAATGCATGGCTTGATTTTTTTTTTTTTTTCTTTTTATTAATTAACGTGGTTTAAGCATTGAAGCTGAATTTACAATCTGTCTCTCAGGAACAAAACGAATCCATCGGATATGGTCCATCAGGTAATATACAAATCTCATTGGCGAACGGCAACATTATGAAAATCCCAATGGCGAGCATCAATATCAGCGAAGAAGTGAATAAGACAGGAATTTGGCAACAAGTAAATGAAGGCAACGAGAAAATGAAACAAGTCAAACTAATCAAGTATGTGTACCTGATTTAGCGAAGTAATTCCGTTACCATTCACGTAGTGGCCTAATGTGACATTGTTAAATTGATTCGAATTTAGCGCGGGAAAGCAAAAAAAGCACTCGAAGAAAGATAACTTTTTGATGGTCGACGAGACTACGAGGCTGACTACGATGACCGAAGAGGATGAAGATGACAGTGGGATCTCTATCAAGGTGACAAACGTAAATGACTCTAAATTCTAGCCACCACCACCATCACCAAACCGATAAATCACATGGCAAGTCACACAGCAAGAGCACCAATACACCGGCATGCAACATACCCCCATGTACGCTATATTGTGTGAGTAAGAGTATAAAAGGGGGCTGCACGGAACCCTCGAACGGAGTCGTCTTTTAGATATAGATTCTTCCTTAGGAGCCATGACGATTCCGATAGAAAAGAAGATCTATTTTCGGATCCACTTTCGATTGTATTATATACGTTGTATAATTAATATTTGCAGCATGCAATATTCGCCAATAAGTATCAAAATAGAAGCAGCAGAAAAGATTTCGATGAATTTGATCTCTGTTTTCTACATATGTTAATATTGCAATATTGATGATAATTTCAATTCACTTGCACTTTGCGATCTTTATCGTTTGCATCTTCGTAGATTAATTCCATTATTTGCATGACCTTTTGTATGAAAAAACAATATTATTTGTTGCGATAATGTAATCTGCGTGTGACATAGTTTTGATATAATAACATATGCTTAAATTCAATTTTTAAACGAATATTTGCCATCACGGTTCAGTGTATTCGATGCTCCGCTAAATTTTTGAAAATTTCAAAGATTTTCATGTATGTTAAATGCTTGTTTAAAACGATTGGCTTGTCTTTGATGCGTTTCGGCAAATTATGCGAAATATTTGGTTTGGTCGTTTCAGGTAGACTTGATACGATCGAAGGAAAGCATCAGCCCGTTAACGATTAACGGCACTACTTCGGCCGAGACTTCTGTTTAACGAAAACAACGCTGCACTGGGAACGATTCGCGAGATCGTTTTTAATCGTTAAAATATCCCGAAGATTCCAATTAATCGACACACAATATGTTTTAATTTTTATCGTACGCGTTATTGTCCAGCCAAGTTACAAACACAATTATGGTGAATCGTCAAAAAAAAAAAAAATTATCACAAGAACAATAACCAAGTTGAAGCATACAGAAATACACTTTGATACTATATGAAAGTTTAAACAGCGATAAAAATAAGTGAAAAATAATTTTTTTTTGTTTTATAGAGAACAAAATCGCATGCAAGACTCTAATCTTATCTCATTGCATTTGTAATTTGATCGAGTGCAATTAATGAGTGCCACTGACATATATCTAGATTGTAACTAACATGAACATATTTTATTCATATAAAAAAAAAAGAAAAGAAAAAAAAAAAGAAGAAAACGAAGAAACGCACATGATTAAAATTTAAAATAAAATGTTTTAGATTTTAAGATTCGATTCATTGATAATTTGATGCGTGAATTGTGTTATTTATTGAATCATTGAATTTATTGATGAAAATATTCTTGTCAGTGTGCAATAACGTGTAATTTGTAATTTAACGATTATATGGATTAAAGATAGTTCGTGTCCATGATAAATATGCCAAGAAAACCCCTTTGATATATCGACGTTTTCCTTCGAGGGATGTCTCGTAGAGAAGCTTGGCGAAAACATGTCTTCGCTCATAAAAAAAGAAAAAGTCGAAAGATTGATAAAATTCATTTTCGACCAATAAAAATTATGCAATATTAACAACTTTCTTTTTAACTCGATTGGATTTTTATGCAAATTCTTAAAAAGTATTTTCTGAAAATTTTCGATATAATACGTCTAATACCGGCCAATAGCGACAATATTTATATTATTTAATAGAGTAAATGTACATCTTTTTTACACTGAAATTTAATTATATGAAAATTCATTCGGAAAGAATCAATATTAGAGAACCATTTTCCATATTTTTTATCAAAATTTTAACATGACTGAATTTTTCCATATGTAACGCCGCCGTCCCTTGAAGGATGTCCTCTTTTTCAAGAAAGGGAAACGAACAATGAGATTTTTATCATACTGCAGTCTTTCACATAGTAAGTGTAACGATCTCGATTTTTAAAAATTTAAATAAAAACTTTATGCGCGATCGTTGCACGAATAAGTTGTCATTTTTCTTCTCCGATTTTCAACCCGATCGATGGAAACGAGACGATTGGTGTGAGAAGATTAAAAGAGAATATTTAATACGATATTTTTCAAATGACACGTTATCAAGTTATTATACACGTTAAATTTCCAAGGCTTTACAAATACATTCGAAAATTGCGTGATAAGTCGATAAACGAAGAACGATTGAATTCTTTGTATTTCGCGAAAAAACGTCGTAAATTAAATGACTAAGAGTGATAAGAGGCATTAATAGGCCTCATTCTGTAGAACATATATTGGAACATCTCCATTGATATAATTACAACAAAGTACGAAACAAGGCAATCGTTCGTATTGATGTTACGTGTGTTTATATATATTTAAGAAAGAAAATCATCTGCAGTTCTGTATACGCTCGCAATGGGAAAGAAGTCATTAATTGGAGCTATACGCGAACATTTCTGACGATGTTTAAGAAATATATTTGTTAAATTGCTGCTTAAATATTAACTGGTTGTGATTAGATTTTCCATTGAGAAAGACCATTATTTGCGTCTTTTGTTTTAAAGATACAAAAAACACCATTTTGTATATCATGCGCGAGATAAATGAAACTCTTCTTTAAAAGATACATGTAAAAAATTAATAAAATGATGAAGAAACGCGAAACAGTATTCTACTAGATAATATATTAGTTGCATATAGTAATATTTAATTTGCATATTTTATAAAAATCGCAAATATGTTTACTGCGTCTTTTTTATAAAAATATCATAAGTGTATATTGTGCATTATTTAAAAGATCTAGTCCAGCATAATCACAATGAAATACCAAAGATTTTTCAAAAATAATGATCGATCGATCGAAGTTGATGAAAGCGTAGAAATATAAAATATAAATTTAAGCATAATATCGTATAGTATCAAATATATAGGTTTTATTACCAGTTTGTTTTGTATATATATATATATACTACAGTTCATTATTCTCGATATCATTTAATTTTCATCATGAATAAAAATGTGTAATGAATAATTTTGTTAATAACTAAGCAGTATGTATTTGGATTTTTAAAGGATAAACAAATTGCACATAATTGTGACTATTAATGTGCATACACACATAAGCGAAGAAACTCATTGCGAGCAACAATGTATATAATCAGCTGCAATCATATAATTCGCTGCCATGCATGCAATCGATGTATTAGTCCTCTTTAACGGAATTGCTGATAAATTCTGATTAATAAAAAAAAAAAAAGAAAAAAAAAAATACAGTATTGATTATGATACAAAATTCATTTCTCTCAATTTATCTTTATTTTACATATTTAATGTTTTTATATTTATAAAATATATTAACGTTTTTGGATAAACGTTTTTGGATAAAACGGAGAAATGAATTCTTATACATGTCCCAAATAAATTTCCTATGTATCCTCTCTTCTCATCTTGTTTCCAAGTATCAAAAATCCAAACAATATTCAATTTGTAAGATAACTGTGTTTTTTACGATAATCATTGCGTGTTATTGCAGAAATTAAAGTGTATTTTCGAATCTTCCTCTTTAAATTGAACCAAAATCACCATATACGTGGTTACTGTATTAATCATCTAAAGACAAGAAATATCAAATAATAAGCAATGTATGCTCGTTACATTGAAACAAAATTTATATTAATTGGCCAGTTTTCGCTCACCGAATGAAAAAGAATGTTATCTAATGTGAAGTATCCATTCGCTGTAAACTTCACTTTTTGATGTAGCAATTGAAGTGAAAACTGTTCGAGCTAGAAGATGTATATGATATTATAAACAACGAAATCGTTAAGACGATCGAATTTGTAAATATCATTTTACCTCTATTTTCGTTTCTCGATCGATCGTACAATTTAACAATGCATGTATAATATATCCAGTTTTTTCGGTCTGCAAAAAAATGCGTTAAGTTTTTAGAATAATTATTTTCCAAAAAAAAAAAAAAAAAAAAAAACAAAATCTCCCTACCTCGTTTATCACTTTGGTTACCTTCGAAGTTAACAAAGCAAGAAGAGACAACGGCAATATTATCCAAATTATGGTATTTGTAATAAGTAAAAAATTTGTTTCCTCATCGTTAAAAAGTAAAAAAAGATAATAAAGGTTGTATAATATTACCAAAAAAATAAAAGAGAGTGCTGTGAGAATGGAAAAAGAATAAAAATCTGAAACTTCTCTGCAAATATCGCAAAGATGATCGTAAATGTTTCGAATTTGAATAAAAAGATGAATTCTTGAATAACTCATGAACACACATTGAGTCTGATTCAAAATTTTTAAATTTATATCATCGCATCTACTTCGACAAAAGCTTTGTATAATGCAATTTAATTTTACAAAAATTACATATATTAAATTAAGCACGAAAAAATATTGAATGAAAAGCAAACCTACAAAGACCAAAGGTATAAAATCTCCCATTAATTTTATTACTGGTTCAGAATTGAAAAGTTTGATTTCAGTAATCAAGAGAGTGATAAATAAGATTAATATAAATAAACAGATGAGAAATAAAATATTAAAAATATGTCTTCGATTTAATGGTTGTTGCAAGCGACGCAACACATTCTCAATATTAATTAAATAATTTCCAATTTTTACGATAACCGATTCAAATATACAATAAAATAATAAAGTTGAGATTATAACAAAACTGCCTAATATTATTTGGAAAATTTCTATGATACATGTTACATCTGTTTTGTGAACAAATTTTAAATATATTGTTGCTTGTATTGAGTACAAACCCAATAGGATTATTAGACAGCTGCCAAACAAATTGTAAAATATTCCCAATTTAGAACTGATAAAAAACATAATATTTTCCGAGTTCTTGTTTAAATTTGCCTGATTATTTAAAGAAAACGTGGCAAGACCGGCAAATTTGAAGAAAAAAAAAAATAGCAAACTTAAACGATACATATTTCGAGACCAATATGATTTATCTATCATTTTTTATGTCCGAAAAAAAATTATGTATGTACTACTTAAAAATATATATTCTCACTTATATTTAAATATAGAAGAAATTTATGGACAATATACTTTGTCTTCTTCTCATTCGTATGCAACTATCAAATATCACTTTTTTTAATTTCGTTACTTTTATTTTTTGATATTTTCATTTTCTTAAAAAATAGTTGTTGCATTTCTAACAACGTAACGCACAAATGAAACAAACTTCATGATTTACGGTTTATTTTATACTAGCTTGTTTGAAAAACAACATTAAATATTAAATCATATTAAAAATACATGCAATTACTTTGCATGCAACAAAATTTATATGATGTTTATTATATTTATTATTAATACTACACGCGATCGATGCTAATTGGATAAAATCATAGAGATAAGAAAAAAATTATAATAGATATAAAATACGAAGAAATAAAATACTTATAAAACTTTAAAAGAGCCATCAAAATCTACAGAAAGTTTTTTATTCAAAATATTTGTTTTTTAACATTTTGAAAGAAACATTTATCTTTTTAGCAATCATAATATTTATGTAATATATAACATACTTATCAGTTTATTTTCTAAAGGATACGCAATAAATTTTAACATAATTATTAAAAAAATAATTAATCAACTAAAAATAGCATAAAACTCTAAACAGAAAATATTTATTTACCTTTTTCGTTTTCAATGCACTTCAAAGGCATTTTAATAATTTCTTCGAATTAACTTAAAAAAATGTAAAAAAACTTAAATGTAAAAAATGTAAGTAAATAAGTGTAACAATGGTTTTTTGATTATTCGACGAAAAAAATACATTAATTTGTTTTTATTAACAATATTACTTTTACAGCATCTTTTTTTCGACAAACGTTTACAAAAGTACATTTATGTTAAGATAAATACTGTACTTAATTTAAATAAAATGAACCGATAAATGTGTGCGAGGTTAAACAATTATTGTGCTATTACGAAAAGTACTGGATGCAAATAAATATGTTTATTTATATAATTTTTTAACCGTATAAAAGAGATAATATAATTTACATTACAATTGTAATTTTATAACAATAAGCTATACGAGTTCAAAAATTTCTGTTCTAAAAAATCTTATTTAGAACAAATATTTATTCAAATTACATATAAGTTATGAAGTCTTTTATGTTCTTTTTTAAATGTTTAGATTACCATTTTTCTAATTTGTACAATCCAGTAACAACAGCAGCAGCTTTATGAACACGTTTGAATTTAATTTTAATTTTAAAAAAATTAAAAAAAAAATTTTTATCTGAGATTCAAAAATATTTTATACAAATGATAAACCGCACATTTTTATTTTTATTTGAATGATATTCAATTATGCCTTTAAAGTGCTATGAAAACACTTGATTGAAAATGCAAAATGTTAATTTCAATAACTTATTGAAAATTTGCATTGAAATCAACCAATTATATGATTATTATTGACCTCTACAGTATGTTATGTTTCTAATTTTTAACATATAGAGGAGTATTGCAATTTTTCTTTTTTATATGTACATTGGTATTTGACGTTACTTAAGTAGATAAATTTAGCATGGTGTTAAACAACAAAGACATCTATATACTTTTCAGAAATATTTTTTTCTTTTTTGGTATTGCCTTAATGACGCAAAAAGAATTGTAATTATTAAAGAAATATGTTATTGAATAGAGTAAATAATTAATGACATCTACTCTAAATCTTAGGTGCTATATAATTAAACAATCTTCTTAACATTTTTAACAGAGTACAGAGTACAGACTGTTCGTTCATATAATAATGGGTTTTCTAGGTTTACAGATATTACAAAAAAGATGAGTTATGATAATGAGAAAATTTACTAGAGAACCCATAAAAAAAATATAGTGTCAAAATTGATCCAAAAGTGATATTCAAGTGCAAAAAAAGTGAATTCTTTTTCGACTTTAAGACACTCATGTAATGTACTATATTAGTACAAAAAAAGTAAGTATGATTTTCACATTATCAGATACAAAAAGTCACTATGTTACTTGGCCTCTGACTCTTTTGGAGTCTCGCTCCTTGTAGGCACTTCCAATTTAACTACCGTAGGTGCATCTGTATCTAGTTGACTACCGCTTTCATCTGCAGGTGAATCTTCTGATATGGTTGCATCTGTAAGTATTATTTATTATATTTTACATGAAAAATTATATATATTTATTTATATATATCTTGCTTAACACATTGTTTATGTTAATAAGTTAAACATATTTTTTACAAATTTTACATATATAGGTAAAACTTTTAATTCATTTATAATAAACTAAATTGGTAATTAATATATTATAAATTTACATTTTTACCTGGACAAGCAGGATCAGACATTAAAGAGAATACTTTTTCTTCAGGCATATCCTTTGTCAATTCTTTGAAATGAACCACCTGATCTGAAAATGATTGCCAAAACGACTGTCCTTCGGGTATAGTAAACATAGCCTAAAAGAAAATGATAATATATTTATTTATTTTAGTATGCAATTATATAAAAATAAATTTTATTAGAAAATCTTATATCAAATATATTAGATATGTATATATCACATATATAAATTTAATAAACATAAAGATTAAATTAACTTAATCTTACTTTAAACTTGTTATATATATGCTCAGACTTTTGTCTAATTTGTTCCGCTTTTTGTTTGAAAATTGCCTATAAATAAAATTTAAGAGGAAATATAAAAAAAGTATTATATAAAATATTTTATAGTTTACGAGAAAAAAAAAATTATACCTCTTCTTCATCATTTAATTTCCAATCAGCTAAATTACCAATATATCTTCGCAACTGAAAATTGAATTGAATAATCATAAAGATTTGGAATAATCATAAAGAATAAATTAAATAATAAAACGATAATTTATATTCATTTACCCTTTTAACAGTTCCGACAATGTGTGGATGTTTCTTCAACATTAAGGGATCAATTGGAAGTGATAACATTTCATCCATTGCTTGCAAACACTTATCCGGATATGCTCGATCTAATCCAAGATTGGATTTAATTTGAGCATCCAACTGTAAAAGTTGTGCTTCAATACGAAGCCATCTGAAATTAATATACATAATTAAAATCTAAAATTTTGTCAAATTAATATTATTCTTATTATTACCTTAGTTTATTCGTTTTACGATGAAGTACACCATCTTTTGCTAACAATCGTTTTTCTTCATCTGGAACATGCACATTAAAATCGAGATAATCTTTTATTTGTTCTGGTAAAATTTCACCGCTTTCTAATTGTGCTTTCATTTTCATTGCATTTCTAGCAGTAGACCATTCCCATTGCGCTCGAGCCTTTTCGCTTTCAAAGGATTTTGGCTTATCCATATCTAATTTGATTCCTACATATTCACCAGCAAATGTTAATGCTAATAGAACTCGTCCTGGGATATCTGAAGATGTCGCACCAGAAACCACAGTACCTTCCAATATAGGTGTTTCATCTAAATTATTTTTTTCTGTAAAATATATGATATTTAAATCTTTATAATTTAATTTTTATATAACAGATTGTTTTTATATACTTTTTATATACTTACTTTCCAAAGCTCTTTTTTTATGCATTGTGTTAGGTGTTACTTGATCATTAGAATCTTCAATTTTAATTTTAGGACGACCTCTTCCATGTTCTACAATATACAAAATATTTATAAAAAGAATTCTATCAGTTTAATTAAATAAAGCTGATAATATATACCATTTTTATCTGCAGCATCTGTTTCTTCCGAACTTGAAAAGTCAGCAAACCGTTTGGGTTTAATTTTTCTACCGCTACGACTTACAACTTCTTTAGGTGATTCTTCTCCCTGAGAATCCAATGCATCTTGTTTCACTGAATCACTTGTAGATGCAGATAAAGATTTTGCTTTTCCGCGTCTTTTCTTCACTTCAGGTGCATCCTAAATTAAAAAATTTTTTAATATCTCATAATATAAACAATAAATATTATTTTTAAAATAATAAATAAATTGTATATATAAATGTAAGGAACAATCGCACAAACTATTTAATCTTGATAAATATTTGTCGGCAATTCCTAAATTATTATTGGAGTGCTCAATACAATAATTATTTCTTTACAAAATATTGTATGAATGAGAAAATACTCCTAATGAAATATATACTTATATTATGTATCTTTATATTTAATAATAAATCTAATTAATTAAATATATATTACAGCAGTAGAGAAGGTTCTCCTTTTCATAGATTTCTTTTTTTCTTCATCAATAACAAGAGATCCTGTATCCATATCACTATCTGCAGCGCTAACTGTCGGTAAATTATCACCTTCTTTTCTCGTTTCTTCAATTCCAGCTTCTTTAATTAAATTAAAATATAAAATTATATATAGCATTATATATATATATATATATCAAATTTTATATATTTATATAATATATATACTTATATATTATACATAATATATATATATTATATATTTACCTTTAAGATCAGCAAGATTTGATGCCTTATTTCTATCATTTTTAAGCTCTTGTTCTAGTTGTACTAATCCTTCATGAAAAAATTTCCTTCGAAGTGGTTTGCCAAATTTTGCTTTATTTTCAATATAGGTATATAATTCTTCCACTTTACACACAGCACTAAAGTAAATATTTAAAAATCTTAATTTATTCTTTTATTTTATACAAGTATATAGTATAATGAAAAAACTCACGTTTCTCCTGTGCCATAAAAATAAACACTATACTTTGAATTTTTTGAATTAGGATCAATAACTTTCTCAACCTAAAAAAAAAAGAAAAATTACTTATGTTATAAAGTATATTCATTTATAGATTGCTAAACTTAATTAAATTTTTCTTTTATTCAAAATTCTAAAAAATATTTTAAATTTTTAAATTTTATAATTTACTTTTTATAATTTATAATTTAAAAAAATGTATAATTTACTCTTCCTCATAATATATATATATATATATATATATATATATATATATATATATATATATATTA